ATCTAAAAAGCAAAATGAATATTTTAGTACCCAGGGTACCGAAAAAGTGTGCCAGAACTCCCCTTTTTGCCCTACTATCATTATTATGATATTCAAAAATGGGCTCATGTCATTTGCCCAACAATCATTTCCCAACAATATTTTTGAAAATATTATTGGGAAAATAGTTGTCAGGCAAATAACATGAACCCATTTATATATATAAAGTATAAAAATAACCTACATACTTGGATAAAATATTTCTTGACCAGTCAATAACTATCCAGCTATAATTAGCCAGCTGTCCAATCTCACCTCTGTGTTCATTCACGAGAAACAAAAAATAACGCTCCAAAACATTAAATTGATTAATATAAATTGGATATTTTGTATCAAGGAGATTATTGGTAGAATTTGTGCTATTAGTAAAGATGATATGTATTTCAGAATAATAATATAAAACATTGCTTCCTCCATTCACACCAATTAATAGAGTACCACTATCATAAGAATCAATTTTACCTAAAGCAAATAATCTGATTTCCAAGGGTACATGTCAATACAACATTATATGCATTTGATATATTAGAAATAATTAAGAGGAAAAATAGATAGAAAATATGTAAATTTAATATAAACATGTTTACAAGCAAATTAAATTGATAAAATTGTAAAATTTTGAAATAATTTTTTCTTTTAATATAAGAAACAAAAATCTGTAATATCTTTGTGTAAGATGAATATTTACCTTACTATATTACGGGATTTAATTTCAAATTATATTGCTATTTAGCATCAAATAACAAAGGTTATTAGATTCAGGTTATGTTCATTATGTATGACAATCTTTGCATTACAATCTGTACAATTAATATTTCTATAAAAAGTGCCATATATATATATATATATATCATTTAACCAGATATTGTTTAATCTTGGAGTTTTCAAAATATTCATCATATAATAAACATTAGCTGATATGCTTTGCAAGAACAATGTTAGATCTCAATTCTAATAATCTTGAACCTGAAGCAGGAAAAGCATTAGCCAATGCACTTTGCAAGAACACCTCTTTAACAGTGTTAAATTTCTATTATAATAATCTTGGATCCAATGTAGGAAAAGTATTAGCTGATACACTTTGCAACAACTCCTCCTTAACAATGTTATATCTCATTTTTAATAATCTTGGATCCGAAGTAGAAAAGGCATTAGCTGATACACTTTGCAAGAACACCTACTTAACAACATTAATAATAATATTGGATCTGAAGAAGGAAATGCATTAGCTGATACACTTTGCAAGAACACTTCCTTAACATATTTGGATATTAGTTATAATAAACTTGAATCAGAAGGAGAAAAAGCATTAGCTGATGCAATTTGCAAGAATACATCCTTAGCTATGTTAAATCTTGGTAGTAATAATCTTGAATCTGAAGTAGAAAAAGTGTTAACTGATGCACTTTGCAATACTAAGATATTTAAATATTTTTAAATTAGAATCAAACAATCCTAATATTAAAATAGATCAATAACTATTTTTATATATAAAAAAGTTTAATTTTTAGTAAATACAGTGGTTTAATTTTTAATAATTCATGTAATTATTTTTTAAATAAATACAGTAAATTTTATTTTTTAATAATTTATATAATTAT